CAAATTATTCAGAACCGATGGGATAGTCAATTGCGTAAGAATCTTCATGCTGCTTGATATTGGTTAAAGTCTTCTTTTCAATATAATAATCCTGATATGGAAAATCATAAACAAACTATTTCAGGACTTTTAGATATAATTGAGAGATATGCTTACGGTCAACCCGATTTAGGAAGTAAATTGACGGGTGAAATGAGACTATTTAGGCAAGCACAAGGTGATTTTGGACGTTTATCTGCTGTAGCTGATCGCCATAAAATGGCTCCTGGTAAAATTTTATCCTCATATTATGTACTTTGTTATATTATATAACTCAAATTTTTAGTTTATATAACGTACATCTATTTTATTTTTATTTTTTTAATACAGATGAATGGTGGATGTGTTATGGTAGTAGTGCACCAAACCTAAAAACGCTTGCAATTCGAGTATTAAGTCAAACATGTAGTTTTTCAGGATGCAAGAGAAATTGGAGCATGTTTGAACACATTCGTTCAAAAAAGAGAAATAGACTCGAGCATCAACGGCTTAATGATCTTGTTTATGTTCACTACAATTTACGATTGCAACAACAGTAATATTGTGTCAATAATTGTTTTCATCATATTGTGATTTATTTGATTTTAAGATTTTGCATTCTTCTGCTAGAATAATAATTGATTATTTATAAAATGGACTATATACTTTGTTCAGGAATTATTTCAAGAGTCAAAATTATGTTCCTATCGACTTTGAAAGGTTTGGCATTTATGGCAATTGGGTGTTAGAGGAAGAGCCACCAACTTTGGTAGATGATGAGTTGGAGGTATTTCGTCGTGAATTGAGTGCATGTACTATACAAAGTGACAAAAATGACGGTAATTGTTCGATTAATGCTAATGTTTCTTCTTCATATTAAAGTATATATGATGTAACAATGAATTTTAAAACTTTTTTTCTAGATGAATTATATTTTGATGATCTTGATCTTGATTGTTGTGAAAGTTTTGGCAACGGCAATGAAAATACAAGTGATACAAACAATGGAAATGAGGATTTTAGCATGATCGAGACTCCGTCATTTATACAAGACGAAAGAATTGAAGAATTTATGTCCGAGACCCTAGCATGGATGCGCTCCAACTCTTCTTAATTAAGAAAATATTGATTTATCTCAAATAATTTAATTCGTTGACATGTTCTTTATCCACAAATGACTTTTAAATGATGGCTTTAATTTTGTTAGATAAAGTTGTTTTTTTTTTAATTTTTATCATTGAATGTTATTTTAATCGTTTCAAATGCATATTTAATTAGACATGATTTAGAATTTGTGTTATTTGGGATACATATTGATCTTTAGTTAACAAAATGATATGAGGTTAATTTAGTTATCACTACTATATAAAAAGGACAATGTTAGTCATTGTAGAAAGAACAATAGATTCTTCCATTTTCACACACTGTAGCAATTTTTCATCTCTCGAGCAAAAACGACGCCGTCTGAAAAAAAAAAAAAAAAAAAAGCGCAGGCTACTGTGATACACCCACTTGCTCTCAATTTAGGTGGATCTTTCTTTCTTCTTCTCCATTTTTACATGCTACTACCTGTTCTCTCCATTTTACCACGCAAATTAGACCTAATTCCTTCTTCTCTCTGAGTTTCATTGGGTCCTTTCTTTTCTCCATGTATGTATAATATTTCTGTTTCCACTCTATTTTTTTGACGTATGGACTAATCTGTTTTATACTTATTTTTCAGTTGTTTGCTTGGTATCCAATGCTAGGATTTTGATGTTTTCGGGTTGCTTTTTTCTAACAAGTTAGTTTCTTCTTTTTCCTCACTTATAGTTTGTATTATTATTTCAAGTTGATTTCTGTGGAGATTCCAATCTGTTGTAGATTTTTGTGCTTATGTTCTTCGATTGCTTGATTTTATATTTTGGGTTTGAATGTTCTTTTCTTTCGTGATCCTAAGGCATCCTAAAGTTCGAAAATTCTTTTGCGATTTCTGTAAAACTCTTTTCCGTCCGTTGTGCCTGAGCGAAGTTTGGGCTTTGTGAAATTTTTTTGTTGTTAGTTTATGAGATGATAAATGAGAATTCCAATTATCGTATACAAAATATATATAGTTGGGATTTTTTTATTCTGTGCTCCAATCGTTGCGCTTATTGTATTTATTCTCTCAGTTTGTTTGATCGTTGACACATATGTTTTTTTGGCATTTACTAGATAGAATAACATTATTTCTACTGGCCTTATTGCAGTTTGCACGTAGTGGTGGAGAATATTTTCATTATGAGTTGGGCTTCTCTTTAGTTCGTGGTAGCAGTACTATCTAGAGGTTTTTCCTGCGATGGTTTCTGAGGGGAAAATCTACTTTCATATGATTTGATTTTTCATTTTTCTTGTACAGTGTTGAACTTCGATGTCGATGTTGATTTGTTGTACACAAACTCTGGAGTAAACTAGGATTGTTTGTTGTATATTTTGTATGGATTGATTGAGGTCTGGTTGTTCCGAATTTTAGTTCTTATTCTTGTTTTTATTGAAATTTGTGGGCGTTCTGCAACTCAATTTCATTTAACGGAGTTTGATTGATTTTTTTTCTTGCATTGTGTGCGAATTGGTTTCATTTCGAATTTTTGTTGTTAATGCTTTCTTCTTTCTTTTCTTTTTTTTTTTGTATGCAATGGATCCGTATCAAAATATTAAAAAATGAAATGAAATATACACCTATGGTGGTTTTTATATAAGCGAATATAAAACAAATGTTTTGGTGGAACAATGTATCTATTTGCATAATGTGTGTGCAAATTTCTTATGAACATTATATTTCAATTAAGGAGTTCCAATGAAGGAATGGTGTTGTATTGTTCAATTTTAAATATTTGGGAATTATTGAAATGTGGATGGAATAGGTTGGTAAATAAGAGAGTAAATAGAATTGGGTGTAGAAATAGCTAAATAGATTAACATGAAAGTCAAACATTTTCGATGTATACAAATTCATTTAGAAGAAAGTAAAGAGGTATCATAGACGTGTCAAACTTCCACCAATACGGTCTTTTTTTTGTATACGATGAACATTGAGGGTTCACTGTTCAAAAGTTCGAAAATACATGTATCGCCCATTTGTAGTTCTTTTTCTGTAAAAAAAACATGCCCAGCCTATAGTCATACGTCTTATTACACCGTTCGGTTGTAAATTTGTGGCGAGCTCCCAGTTGTGATGTAAAGAATCATGGATTTGAACACTTCGCATACCTCTTGGTATGTGGTATCTAGAGAACCGTCCTGGTATACACTGGAAAACCATGAATGAATAAATTATTGACCTTGGAATCAAATTTATGTGAATGAGATAAATGTAGAATGAGATATTAAAGATGACACCTACAATTTCTCGATGGCTGTTGTGATGAGGTGTTAGTGTTATTTCAAATGCAGGGTTATCTGCATGTGAAACATTGTATTCTTCAGAAACATCGGAGTCATATGTGGCATCTAATCCAGAATGGTCAAATATGGTCATATTGAATGTGGAGTTTCCGTTATATTCAAATACCAAAACATGAGCATCTTGTAAGTTATGATGGTCAAAAAATTATTCCCATCCATCGGAAAAATACATTCTCCCATCATCTCTTTCCAATCGTATTGTGACAATTATACCATCATATGCAGTTACTTGTACTGTGTCACCAAGTTGGTGTCTCCAACCGTTGACAAAAGATCTGGGAAGCATCTATACATATACATTAAAAAGTATAAAAGAGATATTAAGAATACATCTATTCAAATGTGAGAGGAGAAACTGTTGTGTCACTAACCAGACGGGTATTATGGTTTAGTGAAGGAGTAATGATTTTGAAGAAACGATGTGGCACCTACATTCTGTCTCGGTATACTACAATGAAAATTTTGTTAGAAAAACTCTATTTTTTACGTTGTGGAGGCCCTAATATAGATTTTAAGATAGATTTTGCAGTATAGGCGAGTTAGAAAGTTTGTTAATTGAAGTTCCATGTCTATAAAATAAACTTTGTATATGATTTAAAAAAGAAAATATCTTGTATGTCATTATAGAAAAATATCATGAAGTTTGACAAGAAATTCATGATTTGTGTTTAATAGAATTGAAGATTGAAATTTAGTCCATCTATATTCAATAAACAAGATGTAAGTTAAAACTGTAAAATTTAATCCTAAGAAAATAGCTAGGGTAATCAAAAAGAGTAGATAGACACCAGATTTTCTTTTGTTTGAGCACCTGCAAGAAAAGATATGTAAGCCCCCATTTGAGCCCCATTATTTGGAGATTTAATGTTTTGAATAGTGTTTTTTTTTTTTGAAAAATAAGTGTTTGAAAAGAAAAGAAGAGAAAAGTTTTTTGTTTATGTGTAATATTATTTTTATTAAAAATTGTGTGGTTAAAAATAGGAGAGAGAAAATTTTAATTTAATTTAATGAGAAATAATGGCGGCCAAACAGGGGCTAAATATTTTATGTGAGGAGTGATTTAAGATAAATTTTGAAAAGAAGAGAAGCTATTTAAGTTAGAGGATATGTACTTCCTCTATTTTTTTTTTCTTTTTCTTCAAATTTGACAGGAGGTTCACGAGTTGTAGAAATGGACAACATGTTATCGAAAAAGTCTGATCTTACTCTGTCCAAAAACAAAAGTGAGGAGAAAAAAATTATTGAACTATCGACTTGAATGACTATTTGATCTAACACGTTTCACACATTATTTAATTGCACTGAAAAGGTTCCGATTGGAAGTGTGATTAATATGTCTATCATTTATCTACATTTCTGCTCATTTAAAGGATTTATATAATCTCTGTTTATATATAAAAAAAATTGATCTATATTTTATTTATTTATTTTAGGAATCACGTCTATTAAAAAAACTAAGTTTATTAAATGAAATTAAATTGTTGTACTGAGAGCAAGAGAAGGAAAAAAGAAAGAAAATGAAATTTGTGCCTCCGTAAGTATGGAGGCGTCGCGCCTTTTGAGCCTCCATAATTACGGAGGCATTGCTTTTTTTTTTTTTTTTTTCTTAGCTCTTATTACGACAGTTCAATATTTTTTTTGGGGGGACATAATTTTATATGAAGTTATATTTTCGTTTAAAGATGAGTTTTTTCTGTTGTATGAAATTTAATCAACGTTCGTGTGTGTGGTAGTCGGACTTTCTTAATAGTATTTTTAAAATTTTGCAATTTCTATTTATGTGATGATAAAAAATTATAATATATAATATAGAAAAATGAATAAGTCTACTTAATTCTTTTTTTTTTATTCTTCCAACTATAGTACTTAGGTGAGTATAATTTATTCATTTCTCTATCTATTTCATTTTCATTTTACCTTTTGAACGGGAAAACGACGTTGTTTTCCTTTCATTCGTGCAAGCACCTTGTTTTTGTCCTTATTTTAATCATTATCCTTATTTTCGTCGTCTCTTTCCCATCCCTCACATCCTTCTGTTTTCTCTCTGTCTTCAAGTTACGTGTATATTTTGTTCGGCGATAGATCTGTTGTTGTTGGTAGGTTTCATTTTTACTTTTATTTTGTTTTTCGATATATTTCCTATTGTTCGAGTCATAGAAGTGTATGCATTTTTTGGCTTCTTTTGTCTAAGGATATTATTTTCAATGTCCATGCTCTTAGTTATGTTTCGAATTTTATTGAGTTGATTTTTGTGGTTTCTTTGTTTCAGCAATACAATAGATAAGCAATATTGGACGCCTACATCTACACAACTTCAAGTTCTCGAATCTATATTTAATCAAGAGAATACAACCCCAAGCAAGTCAATGACATGCAGATAATCTCTGAACTATCGTTGCATGGGCAAATCTCTGATATGAATATTTATAATTAGTTTAAGAGTAGACGTGCTTATTTAAGAAGGTTGGACTTATCCACACAAGCACACGATTTTGAACTTGTAACTCAGCCAAGGGTACAAAAAGACAAATTACGTAAGAGACATATAGGTATGATTTATTGTTTAAATGTGATTTCTTGTTGATTTAATGTTTTTTACTTTCTTTTTTACATAATTTTAACATAAATATTTGATATTACAGAAGTATCTACAAGTTCTACACATATGTCAGGAAGAAGGATGAGATGCTGTCCTGAGTTCACAGCAGGTTCGTAGATTGAATATTTTTTTATAATTTTTTTTTTTTGCATCTTGCTATTTATTTGGTCATGTTGTAGTGCACTTTCTTTTATCTTGTTTTGTAAAATTATTCTTTAATCCAATTTTTGCACTTCTGTTGTCTTTTAGCGATCTTATACTAATTTTATGATTCTAGGTTCTATTGATCAGTCTGTCGAATTAGATCTTCATGTTGATGAAAGCATTGGCATGGAAAAGCAATTTGAAAATGACAATATGCAATCTCAATGTGGTTCACATGTTTCTATCAATTTAGATCATTCTAAGAGAATTGATATACGAAATATTCCAGTTGAACCTTCTATTCTTCCATCTTGTACAATTTGTAAACATTGTGGTGCAAAAAGTTTTACAAAGAAAGTAAGGGTTTTTGTTGTTGTGATGGAAAGGTTAAATTACAGCTGAACAGTGTTTTTCTTGAATTGTATGAGCTATTTACTTCTACTTCATATGAAGCGAAAAAATTGCTCGTACTTATAACAACCATTTCATATTCACTTCATTTGTTGTTAAATATGATAAAAAAATTTACAAGAATAATAGAGGTGTATATACGTTCAAAATTCAAGGACAGGTATACCATTTTATAAATCCACTTCTACCAACTGATGGAAATCTTACGTATTTGCAGTTATAATGAAATTAGTAATAGACTACAAATTCCAGATAGGTTAAGTGAATCAACTTTGAAAAAGTTAATAGATATCTTAAAGATGAATCCATATTGTCATTTCTTTTGATCATTAAGTGAAATTTCTGATTTTAATTCATGTTGTATCGTGTTGAGGTCTGATCCGGGTCTCGACCAGAGAGTATATAACATGCCATCATGTGAACAGAGGTGGCTGCAGTGTGGGTTGATGAGGATCCATCTGCAAACATAAAGACTCGTGATATATTAATTTATGGACATTTCAATACTGCACATAGAGTAAATTACTACTATGGCTGTAATGATCTACTTCAATATCCATTAATATTTACCTATGGAGAACATAGATGGCATGAAGGTTTCGAAAAACTAAATTTGAATACTTCAATAATCCATGAATATTTCTTACAAATCAATCACATTGATTGGCCGAACAGCTTATAGAGATGAAAGATCGTGGTAAGCTTTATTACCATTGAAGTTCTTTAATCTTTTTAGAGTGCATAAATGTATTGTTATTTCTAGATCTGTCTTTGTGACTTTAATTTTTTTTCCTTTCAGTTATGAAAAGAGGTAAGAAACGAATTATTGTGTCGTGCCGTGAATATTATTACTACAAACTTCAAATCAAACTTTCAGATAAGTCTGTATTCCTTCATACAAGAAGACTTCTACAACAATATATAGTGGATATGTATATTAAGATTGAAACTGCGAGATTATATTATTTTCATAACAATCAAAAGACTATACGAGGTGAACTTTATCACGGAATTGTAGATAGTATACAAAATGCTGAGAATAGAGGCTATAAAATTGACAAATCAATTATGCTGCCTACAGGGTTTATTGTGGGTTCTAGAAATTTAACTAAAAGATATATAGATGCAATGTGTTTAGTTCAAAGGTATGGAAAACCTGATGTATTTTTAACAATGACATGCAATTCAAATTGGCCCGAAATTAAACACGAATTGAAGCACAATGATAAAATTCAAAATATGCCAGATTTGTTAGCCCGAATATTACGAGCAAACCTTGAAGAACTAAAAATAGATTTAATAAAGAGATAAATTCTAGGGCTTATAGTTGCCTATATGTAAGTAATTAAATTCCAAAAAAGAGGTTTACCTCATGTTCATTTTCTCCTGATATTTAAAACGAGTTTTAAGATTACTAATTTTACGCAAGTTGACGAAATTGTTTCTTTTGAAATACCAGATCCAAAGAGAGATCCTCATCTGCATACTACTATGGTCAAACACATATGTATGGTCATTGTGGACAATTAAATCCTACAAATATGTGCATGAAAATAACCATACTTGTAAAAAAAATATCCAAGAGAATACATTTTGCATACTTCATTATGTAGTGATTCATATCCACTTTATAGGTATCGTGACGATGGTGTTACTGTTAGGGTCAGAGGGTCTGTATTAGACAATAGATGGGTTGTACCATATAATCCTTATATTTTGGCTAAGTATGACTGTCACATTAATGTTGAAATATGTTCTTCTGTTAAAGCAGTCAAATACTTATACAAATATGTATACAAATGACATGATCGTGTTAATTTTACTGTGAATAAAGAAACCAAGAGCATTATATTGATAAGATTTTGAATTATCAAACTGCTAGATGAATATCTGCACCGAAAGCTATATGGAGAATTTTTAGTTTTGATTTATTCAACATATCTCCTTACGTAGTTTCTTTGCAGTTACATATTGAAGATACTCAGTTGGTTACATATAATGAAACAAATGATTTATTAGAAGTTATAAACAAAGACATCATTCAATGAACAATGTTAACTGAATTTTTTAGAGTGAATATTCCAAATGAAAAGGCACGAACTTTACTTTATAAGGATTTTCCTACATACTTTATATGGAATACATATTTTCGAGGTTGGAGTCCTAAAAAAAGTAAAATGTTATTGGTAGAATAGTTGTTGCTAATATGAGGGCGAGAGATACTTTCTAAAAGTTTTATTGAATCATGTTAAAGGGCCTAAGTCTTTTCAAGATTTAAGAACAGTAAATAATATTGTTGTGCCTACTTATCGCGAAACTCCATTTTTACATGGTCTAATAGGTGTGAATAATTATTGTGAAATGTGTTTAAATGATGTAATCACCTATCAAATGCCTATATCATTGCGTCGCCTATTTGCTAATGTGTTAATTTTTTGTAGCCCTGCAAATCCTAGAAATTTATAGGTTAATTTAAAGTGTACATGATAGAAGATTTTTTACATGCAAGCATGACAGTATGTAATGCCGAGCTAAGGGCTTTAAGATGCATAAATTCATTCTTGGAAATTTTTGGTACAAACATAAATGATTTTGGTCTGGTAGATTTTGACGTTATTATGAACGATACTAATGTGTTAGCAAACATGATTTTAGAAGAGACTACAAATATTAATGTTTAGTGTAACATGTATTTTACAGAGAATTTAAATAAGGAACAACAATATACCTATGATGTTATTTTAGACTGTGTTGTAAATAATAAAAATGGAGTTTTTTTTTTATTGATGGTCCAGGAGGTATTGGAAAAACTATTATGTACAAGGCATTACTTGTTGCAGTACGATCTCGACAACTTATTGCATTAGCAACAACACATTGGGAGAAGCTGCTTCTTTATTGTCGGCTAAGCGAACTAGTCATTTACGTTTTACAATCCCACTTCAAACAAGTTCTGATATGCAATGTTCAGTAAGTAAACAATCATCACTTGGTCAACTTTTACAGATGAAAAAGCTAATTATGTGGGATGAAGCACCAATGATTAATAGATGTGCTTTTGAAACTTTGGATAACATGTTAAAAGATATTACTGAATGTGAATTGTCATTTGGCGGAAATGTTGTTGTGTTCGGAGGAAATTTTCGACAAGTGTTACCAGTAGTAAAAAGAGGAACAAAAGATGATATCATGAAGGCTAGTTTAGTTTTTTCAGAATTATGGCAATATTTTACACAACTACCGTTGACCGAGAATATGAGAGCTAAATTAGATCATTTGTTCTATGAATATTTACTTAGAATTGGAAATGGAATTGAAAGAGAACATACATGTCACATGATTAAACTTCCTTCATATATAATAATAGATTTTGAGAGTGAATTTGAATCATTGAAAAAATTAATTGCTATTGTGTTTCCTGATTTTCACACATATGGTAACAATTTGAATACTATGATGAATAGAGTTATTTTGACTTCAAAAAATGAACATGTAGATGTAATAAACAATATGTTAGTCAAAGAAATTCCAAGAGAGATATTTACGTATTTTAGTTTTGATGAAGTAATTGATAAAACAGAAGGATTTATTCGTGAGGACTTTTTGAATAGTCTAACTCCAAATGACATCCCTCCACGTGAACTTGTACTAAAAAGAAATTGTCCTGTTATGTTTCTTAGAAACATTAATCTTTCAGAAGGTTTGTGTCATGGGACCAGACTTATTTGTCGAGAATTTAAATGAAATATTATTTTAGTCGAAATTGGAACAGGTGAATATTGTGGAAAGCAAGTATTTTTACCTAGAATTCTATTTATTCCACTTGAAGGAGATAAGCATTCGGTACCATTTAAGAGAACTCAATTTCCCATTCGTCCTTGTTTTGCAATGACCATTAACAAAGATCAAGGTCAAACTTTAGATTTTGTTGGACTATATTTGCCTGAACCTGCCTTCTCACATGGTCAGTTATATGTCACTTTATCTAGAGCAAGAACAAGGGAAAACATAAAAGTTCTAATAAAGCTAATGGATGAAAAAAATCACACAATTGTTGCACAAAAAATGTAGTCTCCCTTGAAATTTTGAATTTGATACATACTACTTAACAAGTCTATAATTAAAAGTTTTGCTTAATTGGACTGTCAATCTATTATTAGCCTAAAAGAGGATATTTTCTCTGCTAATCCATTTTGTGTCAAGGAGAATAACATTCAGCTATACAAAGTTAGTTAATCTTATATATTATTATGTGTTTCAATTATACTTCACTTGTTAATACGATTTATTCTTCAACGTGGTGCATACAAAATGGTCAGATCATTATCTTTAAACATGTCCTTCATAATATTCCATGTTCAACTTATGTTTATTTATTTGGGTCTAAGTAGTCTTATTTTATGTACACACAAACTGATGTGACAAGATACCAAAAGAAAGGATAAAAAATACAAACTTATTACATAATATTCCAATCAGTATATTCTAGTTATCTACTACAAATAGGACTTATGGGGATGAAGAAAGTATTCGTTATTACAAATATCTATTGCAATCTTTCGTCTATAGATGCTCATCCTATCCGACGAAACTGATTCAATTGGATATCCCAAAACAAAGCATTCCATATATTTGAGCAAGAAAATTTCACAATTAGACCTGTGGAAGAAATAGTTTAGTGTTAGATTAAATGACTAAGTTCAGAAAATTAAATATTCTGCTAAAAAACAAGTCGCTTAAATGCTTACCCATTGTTTTCACAATTTAGGTAGGATATAATCTCCTGCTCCATTTTTTTATTCCTATGTTTCCTTATATCTCTTCTAGAAGAAAAAGGCGTAGTCTTCAATAATGCTTCTACCACAGTCAATGAAGCTTTTGCATGTGATTTTACTTGATCAGGTGTGTGGACGTTATTACTGCAATCATATATTTGAATTTCTATTCAGGAATATTGACAAGGAAAAGATACTAGCTATTGCCCGGATATGAGCACGGAATCAATATATACTTGCATCTCATCCAAGGACGACCAAATATAGGTGCTTTGTCATTCACATAACTTTCCAAAAGAGTTACATTCGGTTCACCTCTGGTGGTTCCCATTCCTGTGTCAATATGCCATATCATGTAACGAGCATATTTCATTTCAAATTTGAAATTCATAATTGCATATTCTTTTGAAACAAGTGAACAACCTTCATTTATGAGCCGCCTCAATAGTTTTAGCTTTAGCTCAATGTTCTGATAAAATAAATAGATATAAATTAGATTATATATATCCAATATAAAATAAAATCTATTGTAATTCATAGACTTTACTTACAACAATCTTTATGTCCTATGTTTGATCCATTAGAGTTTTTAACATGTCTCTTTCAAAGACATTGTTATTACCATCATCCAAGTATGCACTGTATGACATAATTTTAATTAATTTCAAATAAATCAAAAGAGAACTTGAATATTTGAGCTAATACAAGTAAAATTAGATTTGTTACCCAGATTGATTCTCCGATATAAAATTTCTAATTTTTAAGTATCTTTCCATAAGATAGTCTTCTAGAGGACGACCTGAAGATGATGATGACTGTATTTGTTTTTCCTTGTTTTTCTTCTCTTTTATCGACCTTTCAGAGCTCTCAATTTGTTCGGTTGTTGATATCTCTTTTAGTTTATCGCAAGGAACAACACTTGTACTGAGAGGGACATCTTATTGCATAGAACCTATGATGGCTTCCATGTTTGATTTCCAATCAGATAATGTGTTCAGTGTTTCCTGATTTTGTTCATCAACAGGATCTCATTGAACTTAAACTACTACCAATATAAGATTGCATACCCTGGTATCTATCTTCCTGCCACTTCTGTTGCTGTTCAAAAAATTACCTTTGGTTGTCAAGAATTATCTAATAATGATGTTGCATGCAATCTTCTTGTCTTTTTTTTCCTCCTCAAATAACCATTTTTGGTTTTCAAGAACCGCATGGTAGTGAGCTCTTAATTCTTTAGCAAATTCTGCCTTCAAGTTGTTATATACACCAAACATGTGTGATGCTATGTGTTGCCTGTAGATACCCAACAATTCTTCCATTTTATCTTCACTTAGGGAGTTGGAGCCACCGAGAACAGAGCTAGACCCAAATACATGTGAAGATGTAGAAGTACCGGGAATCGTCGTTTCTTGCACATATATATTGTCGGGGATTTGTTGTATTGCATTATCCAATATTCCATTTACAATCTCATCTAATCTACTGTGTCCATTATCCACTGGCAATGAAAGAGTTTTGTACTAAGGAGTTTGTAATTCTTCTTCATTAGGCTGTAGCATAGCAATCACTTGGATATGTAATCAAAATGAAATACCAAAATCGTTTATTTTGAGTTTAATTTAATTTTAAGATAATTGAATATGAAAGTAATTGTACATTCATAAAAACATACATTACGAGTAGACAAAAAATGTTTTTATCTCTTTTTCAGTTACAAATTGGTTGGGTTTCCACTTGTATATTCTTGGACTCTGTGGTGTTTATATCTACGACATCCAAATTTCTTTCCGATCTTTGGAAATGCTTCATATATCCAATACTGCAAGATAATTAAAAATAAATATTATATGTATAAATTTTTTTTATGCGAATAAATTGTACATAATAAGTCAATAAAAGAATAGGGACTAATTACCTGGAATGCAAGTGGATACCCATGTAACGCATACTTGCATTCTGTTTGTTCATTTCATTGCATCATTTGCATTCTTTCATATTGTGATGCTTTCAATGAATATAATAAGATCAAATATGCTTTGTGACCGCATGGATATGCAAGGAAGTCATCCAGATGTTCAACCATGCCAAGTGTCCTATAATCAATTTGTCTTGCAGTGGGTGTCAACACACATTCGACCAACATGACTAAACCAAACTCCAATTTATCTTCTTCATGTTCGCACAAATGGAATGCTTCAAAAAGCATTCTCATACTGAGTCGTTTTGTACCATTAAAGTACTAATTTCTAAGACAATCATTTGTATCATCAATGTCCATGGATGGTTCATAGCAAGGTAATCCAGTAATAAGACAAAATTCTTGCATACCAAACCTGACTACACGATCGTCTAACCTTACCCAAATTTCATCATTTCTCCCACAATTCACAGACCATAATATAAATTCATGCACCATCCTACTACTAAATTGTATATTTTTCCTTTGTAGAAAACTCCATAAAGAAATCCATAAAAATTACTGTACATCAAGGAAGATTGCTAATTCGAATCTATAAATTCTACAAAGTCTTTAAGATATTCAAAATTTGGATACTGAATAATTGTAGCAGAAAACCATTGGTCTGGAGAAATTATTTATTCTAGAGATATCTGCATAAATTATTCAAAAAATCATATCGTATTTATGAATGAATCTGAGAATTAAAAACAGAGAACTTTTATTAAGAGTTCGAAATAAACATTATATCTTCATAGCCTATACATACATAAATATTGTAAAACCGATAATAAAATATCTTATCTTTGTGTCTAGACAGTCCAGACAATTCGTGACATGAAATTAGGCATAGGAACCACTATATCCATAATACGGAGGCCCAAGCCTCCATATGGCCTCCATAATCATGGAGGCTTTATGGGTAAAATTGTTACCCATACACATAGATCTGTGTAGATATGTGCAAATTTCTTTCATTGTAAATTTTTGGGTAAAATTGTTATCTTTTTCAGCCAATTTCACAGCTTCTCTGGTTTAAATCTGTGAGTAGTTTCTCTTGCTAAATGTATAGACTTCTGGAACTCAATTTTTAGACAAATAATAAATGAGTTATATATCAACCACAAGATAAAAAACTGTCACATGTGAGCTGTATATTTTTGTTGTTTTATGCATTTGGTCAATAATCAATGAAATATTTTTGTTGTGTTATGAAATACAAACTATTCACACGTTTTATACAATCTCAAATCTACGTCTTTGTCTGAATTCTTCAATTTCATAAAAAAAAATCATACATTAATATATTCACGTATATTTAGATATTCACAATTCAATTTATTTAAGCTAAATAAATAACTAAATCAAGTTTTCCTTCCATTACAATGAAGGTTTGTAGCATGAACTCTTTTTCCCCAGTGAATACAACTTCATTTAACTCAGAGTCATTCTTGTACCATGTTTAAACCTTTGCCAACCCATGCCCATATTCAGTCTTTATGAATCAATAAAGTATGGGTATGATAAGATTCTACCGTGTACATCTTGATCTTTTTTCTTTTTTAATCCAAATTTTGACGACATTTTATTAAATTTATAATAGGGAGAACGAATAAAATATAGTTTTACATATTTTGCTCTAAGTGTAAATCCTTGAACTCACGCTATTTTTGTAATATCTATAAATGAATATTACAAGTAATCCCCATATCTCATGCAGACAACAAGGTATGACAGTATATGGCTAATGATAAGATTTTACACAGTATATAGTTGTATTGATTTTTATAAAAAAAAAATTAAGAATAGAAGATAAAATCCGAGAAACCGAATATGATATAATTTTACATGTCTATATATATCTTCTTTTATTTGTCAATTAGATATCTCAAAATTGTTTGCAATAGAAATCTTCCTTTTGTGTGTATTTTGCCTCTATTATTCTGTTACAAAATCGCCACAATGAAAGAACAGTACCAGCTTCTACCAGAAATTATTTCCAACAATCAAAAGTGGAAAACTAAGGTGATTGTAGTTAAAAAAAACTCATCAAAGCCTTCGAGACAAGACAATGGAAGGTACCAGCATTTGATGTTAATGAATACTCAGGTAACTCTTTTTCATATATTTTTTCTTCATTTCTTTTTGTTTTTTTTCTTAATCTAAGATCACGTATATTACAGTTATTTATAAGGTTCCTCATCATTTTTTAGGGTAATACTATTCAGGCTAGCTTATATGATTCCAATATCACTGTTTTTGAGGATCAACTTGTTCTGGGAAAAACTTATACTATTTCGAAAGCTTATGTGAAGAACAATACGACAAACTACAGATATTCGACTGGCTCTCTACAATGGACAATATCTGGAGAAACTCGTATTGAAGAACTGAATGAAGATAATCTAGAGTTTCTATTTTCAACATATCAACTGACACAGTTTCATGAACTTGAATAATACCTGGATACAGATGCTGATTTAAATGAGACAAAATTTCATAGA